CTTCCCTAACCTACTGGCTAACCTAAGCGATATCTACGATATAACTTTTAGTACTTAGTACGACCAATAGTCAGGATTTGAGGTCGAAAGGGACGTCTTACCACCCAATATAGCTATAGCACTAAGAGGAATGGGGTCGTAGAAGGCCCTAGGGAAGGATTTATTGCCTATAGGCTTCCTTAAAGCCTATAGAGAACCATTATAATGGATACTAGTATCACTAATCACGGCTTGCTTTAGGCTCGAATAGTTCCCGGAAAGATTTAAGGATGCTAAAACCATTATGCTAGCTAAGCCGGGAAAGAAGCCCTCTGACTATAAGACCCTGGCAGGCTATAGACCTATTGCCTTATTCCTTATAATAGGGAAGGTTATAGAGTCTATAGTGGCCCGGAGGGTTACCTACTAGGCTAAGAATAAAGGCCTTCTTCTTAAGGAATAGATAGGCAATAGGCAATATAGGTCTACTGAACTGGTAATTAGGCTAGTAATAGCTTAGGTCCAGGAAGCCTAGCGCTAGAAGCTTACGCCTTCGTTACTCTAATTAGATATTTCGGGGGCCTTCGATACTGTCAACTACACCCGACTACTTTATACCCTCTGCGAATACGGCTACCCCGGTTAGCTATTACGATTACTAAAATCATAGCTTATAGACCATACGGCCCGCCTATACTTCGATGGCTATACCACCGAGCCAGTACTTATATAGGCCGGGGTCCCCTAGAGATCGCTACTTTCCCCGGTACTATTCCTACTATATATCGCCAGCCTATACGAAGCCTTAAAGAATAACTACCCGGACCTTGGTATAGTAGGATTCGCAGACGATATTAACCTATTAGCCTTTAGTAAAAGCTTTAAAAGTAATGCCCGGCAATTGGAAGAGGCTTGGAAAACGTGCCTATAATAGGCAGATACCCGGGGCATAGCATTTAACGCAGCAAAAAGCGAGCTAATATACTTCAATAAAGGCCGCACACAGTAGGCAAAAGTACTATACCTAGCTAACCCGGGCCCCGACAATAATAACAATAATAACTATAGCACTATAAAGCCTACGGCTTTAGGACGGTTCCTAGGAGTCTGGCTAAACTAGCGGCTCTCGTGGAAGGCCTACGGCTAAGCCGTAGATAGGAAGCTTAAGACCTAGGAATTCGCCTTGGCTAGGATAGCTGGTAAGACTTAGGGGCCTAATATAGCTAGGTGCCGGGAGGTATATACTAAGTATATACGTAGCCTTATAGCCTATGGAGCCTCCAGTTACTACCGTCCGATACGACCTATAGGGAAGCCCATAGGCCTAGCCATATACCTAGCTAAGGCTTAGAACCGTAGCCTACGTATAGTGGCCGGAGCCTACAAAGCTACACTAATACGGCACCTGGAAGCGGAGACATAGGTACCACCATTAGACCTATACCTTAACAAAAGACTAGCAGATTTCGAGCATAGGATCTAAGAGCTAGTGAGTATAGTTGACGGGCCCGAGAAGGCCCTAGGTAGCATTATCTAGGAGGCTTATAATAGGCTAGTCTTGCGAGCGTAACGGTACAGGGCCCGGACCCGGGCCCGAGGCAGGAAGTCACCCGTAGGGCTTATAGGGCCCACAGTAATGGAAAGGATAGCGAATATAGTAGAGGACTAGAAGGCCTTCGAGGGCAAGGGAGGTATAACGAAGGCACTAGAGAAGGCCTGGACAAAGCGCTAAAAGGAAGGAATGGAAGCAAGATAATAAAGGGCTCCTAGGCTAGCCAACGTAGACCCGGACCTTATGGACCAGGTCTTACAAAGGCATATAGACCTAACTAAAGCTCAGAGTTCCTTACTAATATAGGCCCGAATAGAGGCTATAGGCTTAAAAGATTTCCTTTTTAAGGCACGGATACTAGGAATTACTACCCCCTACTACACTTGTGGCAGTGGCCGGGAAACGGTGGAGCACTTAGTTATATAGTGCCCAGACCCCCTGAAGCTAAAGACCTGGGTGGTAACGATGCTCTATACCCGCAGAGACTTATAGGTGGCCTTGCAGGGGCAGACCCCTGGGGCTAGGAGGCTTATAGAGAAGGTTTTGGCATGGCTAATGGATATAGGCCTTCTATTGGAATATAGCCTAGCTAGGAAGCTAGAGCTGGATTCAGTGGAAGACCCAAGCCCTGTATAGGGCAGCCATGGCCTAGAAGGCTTCCTTTATACCGTATGATAGGGATATAGGCCACTGGCCAATGGAATGATTCTATAGTGTAGATATGAGGTTTTTCAGCCAGCCTATACGGTACGGTTTTCCTCGTGTATGTAGCAGTAGAGGGACCGACGAGCCCTGCCTAGGGCATGGCGGAGTATGAAATAATAATATTATATATCTTAAGGTTACGGTATTCTCGGTAAGGGTCAATAATATAGTCGAATTATACGATATCGTTATATAGCTTATAGTAAGGTAAAACAAATAGTAAGTCTTTAAGGTTTCGCTTTATAATATAAGGTCCTAAAGGTTAAACTTCTCTATAAATAACTTTCCTAATAAATCTAATAAATGCTTTTCTCTAATTATAATGGGTTATTTATTAATTCTTATAATTACTTAATTCTTAAGGGTCTATAGGGTTCTATTCTTCTTCTTATTTAAGCTTAAGTTCCGTATTATTATCTAGATATTTACTTATCTCTTAAAGTTTCTTACTCTTTTAGGTTACCTATTTACCTTTAATAAGCATATAGTCTTCTTGTCCTTACTTTATTATTTTAATAATATAGTCTATATTAGCAAATTATACCGTCTTAGATTCTAATACCGGCCTAAACTTTTTAGGGGATTTATACTCTTTAGCATAATATCCTATCTTATTATAGTTAAAATACTTAATTTTAGATTTATCCCTAAATTTATTACGGTTTCCCTGATATTTTTAAGCGGCCTTTATATCTATAGGGCCTATTGAATTGGGGCGGGGAAACCGTCCCTAAAACCTAAACTAACCAACTTACTGCATATCTTCGTCCAAGTAAAGCCAGAATTGTAATATAGGTCTTAAAGCTTTCTTACTGTACTTATTAGCCCTTGATTAAGGGGGTAGATACTTACTTAAGTCAAAAATCTATCTATAGCCAAAAAGGGTATTGAATTCTAAGTCTTTACTCTAAGATCTTTACTTTTTATCTCTCTTCCTTTTCCTTTTCTTTTTCCTTGATTAAAGAGCGGTTTAACTGGTGCCTTTATATATATGCAAGAATTGGTTTAGCAATAGAAATTGCTAAGATTTTGATAAGATAAGAAAAATCCTCCCCGCGTATAGACTATTTGATTTGACCCTAATACTTAGTAAATCCCTAATTTATTTCCCTTCGAATTTGCTTATATGTCTCCGTAAGTAAATTTGCCTAGAAAAAGAATATTATATTACTATAAGAATACTCTTAGTTCCTTACCTTACCTTCCTTAATTATTTATCTTTAGACTTATCCTTTACTTTATCTTTCTTTTCCTATTTATTAGAATCCTATTATAGACCTCTTATCTTAAAGGCCTTCTTGGCCTTCTTTTTCCTTAATATCTTCCTTCGCTTTTCCTTTAATTACTCTTTACCCCTATTCCTTTATTACTTACGCTTAGCTATTCGCTTATCTTTCCCTTCCTTGATTACTTATATCCGCTGCCCTTCCGCCTTTTTCGCTATCTCTTTCCGATAAGCTGCCTACCCGAGGTACTTTAATGCGTGATCTAGTTTATAATAATACCTTCCTTTAGCCTTATAGTTATAGATAAGAGTAACCGTAAGAAATACCTATTTACTTAGTACCTTCTATTGCTATAGCGAATTAAGCGGCGATATTATTATTAGTAATATTAGAGCGTCTTTATTAAACGAATTAGCCTAACGGTAAACCCTTATCCCGGTATAGTCTTTAACCTCCTTTAATTCTCTCTTTAATTCTTTTTTTAATAATATTAGACTTTTAAGTATAATACTTATAGGCGTAATCCAAGGGGGACGTAATGGCCCGTTATATTTCCTCCCTTCTCTAAAGGACGGTCTATTTGCCTTTAGTCCGTAATACCGATTCTCTTAAATTATATTTTTTACCTATTATCCTAAAGCTAGCCGATATTTTTCTGCTTATAATATATAAAATTTGTCTTATATATTCTAGACTCTTTTCTATAGCCTTCCTTTCTCTTAATCGTTTCTTAGAGATACTTTACCTCTCTCTTCCTAATAATATCTTTAGAAGAAATACCGTACTATCTCTATTACCTATATTCTATATTCTTAGCCGCTTATTTAATTAGGTATAGGCATTTCTAATATTAATATCTTAATGTTAACTCTTAATATATTATTGATTCATACTCCGTTTTGCCCTAGGCAGGGCTCGTCGGTCCCTCTACATTGCTTTATATACAGGGAAACCGTACCGTATAGGCTGGATAAAAACCCCATATCTCAACTTTAGAATCATTCCGTTCATTCTGAATCCAACCATACAGTGGCCCAGGGCATTAGCGGTCCTAGACCTAGCCCTAGGGTAGCACGTTGCTATTTTCCATCCATTTATGCCTTAAGAATCCACCATTAACTGTATCTTCGGGTGCGGGGGTATCGCTCCCACGGCGGCCCATTTGTCCTCAGTGAGCGACTGGTATGGCAGATTTTTTGTTTTTGCTCAGCCATTAGCAAATATAGGGTTATCGATCCCTATAACGGCCCTTTACAGTGGGCTACTGGGGGGCGTGACACTCAGGACCCCCACCTGGGTTATAGCGGGTTTTACTGCGCGGCTATGAAGCAGTTTGACCCTCGTTGTGCAATGACCGGGGGACCCAGTCCCGGCCATTCCCGAGCCGTGAGTGGTTCCTCGGGGGGTTCCGACGTGTGGGCTGGCCCGATTGCACTTAATGGGGTGGCAAGTCCCAGGGGTGGCAAGTCCCAGTGCAAGTGGGCCAGGCCCACTGGTTAGTGCAACCAATCAAAATTCCTAAAAATTTTTGAATTGGGTGAGGGGAGCCGGATTCGAACCGACGACCTACGTAGACCCAACGTAGGATTCCAGGCGACACGCACTCCAAATGCGCCGTCCCCCCTAACTCTTAATATAATATGAATATAATCTTTAATAATAGCAAGCTCTTCCTTCTTAGTCTTTTTATTATTATCTTCTAGATACCGAGACTTTATCGAATCTAACTAGTAAATCCTCGTCGATATTTAATTAAAGATTACTAAAACCTAATAATTATTATTAATATTAATAGGGATAATCTAGATCCGCTTAAATCTAATTACTTCCTTTATCTTACGAAAAGTAACGCCTCCTCTATTCTTACGGTAAAACTCTACCGATAAAGGGTTATTCGGGATTTATATAAAGTCTTAGTATTATCGGAAGAAATACTTAAGTCCCGATAAGAGAACGTAATCGTTAAACCATTCTCTTTTCCTTAAGATTCCCTCTATATCGTAGATATTATAGAGTAAGACCTTAAGAGGCATTCCGTAAAATGACTGCCCGATTTCTCTATCCGAGATTATATTAGGGAAAAAGGTATTAAGGATATTAAATATATACCTTTAATCCTAATTGCAAATAAACTAGAGGGGGAGCTTTCCCTTATTGACTAATACCACTCTTTCGATCGGTCGGACTAAAAATAGGCGAAACTTTGGCTTATTAGGGTCTCTATAGATATAATCTTTGTTATAAGGGCTTTAGACTAATAGACTTTCGCGAGCCGCTTAATAAATCTTAGTATTTACTTTAACGTTATGCCTATTAATAATATTAGCTTTACCTAACTATCTATTAGATTTAATAGATATTTTAAAGATAAAGACGGTAAGAAAGAATAGTATTACTTAGATTCTGCGAGGTTAAAGGGGTACGTTAATTTAAAGAGGGATTGTAAGAGGCTTTTTAATTATTAAGAGGAAGAACTATTGCTAGGCGGAAGAATCGCTTCTTTTTATACCCTTCCCTATCTAATCTTTCCCTCCCTATTTAATCTTTTCTTTTTTACCCTAATTACTCTCTTTTTTTTTCGGTTTTAGGTTTATATTCCTTATCTTTTATTTCGTCTTTTTACTAAGCTATAGTACTTATATTAGGAAAGGAAATAGCTTAATAACTTAATTCTTATTATTTTTAAATAATAAGGCGGCCTATTTAATTCTTTTTCTTATTCCTTAATTACTCTTAGGATATTTTTTAAGCTAACGTTTTCTTTACTTTTATAATTTTCTACCTTCTCTTTCTTTATTTCCTTACTTAATATTCTTTTAATTATATTTTCTAAGTAATTAAATTAAAAGGGTAAATATATTATAGCTTTTAACGTTAATTATTGCTACGATCTATATAGTTAATTTAACTTTAACCTTAAGATTAAGCTCGTTCTTAGTATTCCTATAATTCGGATATTAACCGATCGTTCTATTAATTTCTCTTATTTTCTATAGAATAAGTTCTTAGCCTTAATTTATTATATTTAGATTAAGAACGATTAAATAAATAAGCCCGACGATTCTATTAAGCTTAAATATAATATTATTACCTATTTCCGGCTAATAGAGTTAATTATTATCTTTACCTTAACTTCTTACCTTCTTCTTATTCCGTCCCTCTTTAATCTTAAGCTAAGGGTTATATACCTTTTTTATTATTATTAGATATTCCTAGCCTATATTTCTAAACTTTATTAAAAGCTTTAATTTAAGCTTAATATCGATAAAGAAATATTTATAGCTGCCTAAACCTATAAAATTAGCAAAAATATGCTCGTCCGCTATTATATTTACGTCGAAAGATATAATAGCCTTTATTAAAGTCATTAAATATTAGAGCTTAATACCTACCCTTATTATACCTATTCTTTATTTATCTAAGGTTATAGCTTACCGTAAATACCTTAGCCTATTTTCCCTCTTTAATTAAGTTAAGCTAATATTACCTTTAATAACGACGTCCTTTATAAAATATATTATAAGTTATACCGACGCTTTATCGTCCTTAATCTTTCCGATAACGGTAATAAGCCTAATATCTATAGTATATAGCCTTTTTTTAGCTATATTAGCATCCTAGGTTTTAAGGAAGGAAAGTATAATAATTATACTTAGAGAAGGGATTTTTATTCGTAATTAAAGATAAATAAAGATTAGCCTATTTTCTACCTTAAGGTAAGGCAATATACTAATACCTATCTTTCTTTTGACTTTCTTTCGCTTAGGATTAAATAAAATCGTACTATTAACGAATATATTAACGCTTAAATTAAGGCTTATAAAAATAGTATTTATTATAAAGCTATTAATTAGGGAGCTTATCGTATTAAGTATTTTTAGCGGTAATAGATAAACCCTCCTCTTTTTTCTAATAAATAATTAGGTTTCTCCCTTTAATTATATTAGTCCCATTACGACGCTAATATCTAAGTTTAAACCTAAGATATTCTAGCTTAAAAGATTCTAAAAAAGAATTCTTAGATATAAGGGTTAATTTTCTTTTTATTTATTTCCTTCCTTTCTTTCCTTTAAAAGTAGCTAAGCCTTCTATAGCCTTACTTTCGTTTTAATAGAAAATATACTACCTTATTAGCCTTTTAGTTTACCTTTTCTTAATAATACCTTAATCTTTCCTTTTCTTCCTTTACTTATTATTACGCAAATCGTCTTCCGTCTAATCGAATAAGAAGTAAGTCGCTATTAATCTCCTATTACCTCCCTTTCCTTACTAGCTTTCTCTAGGACTTTCTTTCTTATTACGTCCTTAGAAAGCCTAACTTTATTACTCTTTCTCTAATTAAATAACTTTAAGCCCGGCTATATATCCGTATTCTCTTTATTTACTAAAATATCGTTTATCCTAAAGAATTTCTTTACTTTATTTAATATATATAGGGTCTTAATCTTAATCTTATCTAGAGTTTCTAGCTAATAAATATTATACTTAAGAATCCTATATATCTTATAAGGGCTAGACTAACGGTACTTTAACTTCTTATTCGCTAATATATCGATTTTCTTATTAATATTATATATTAATATAAAGTCTCTTATATTAATCTTAGCGTTCTTCGGGCATTTACGGTACTTATTCCTCTCTTTTTTTATTCCCGCTAACTTTTTTTATATACTTTTAACCCTTTTAGTAACTTTAAATAACCTCTACTTTGCCGTAAGTAATATTATTATTGATTCTTACTCCGCTATGCCCTAATAGGGCTCGTCGGTCCCTCTACTGCTATATACACAAGGAAAACCGTACCGTAAAGGCCGGC